CCACACCCACACCCACACCCACACCCACACCCACACCCACATCCTCTTCTTCAAAGTATAAGCAAATAGCTGTAAACAGCTTTCATAGCAAGCGAAACGATTCACTCTTTGTAGTATAGTTATATCCTTGACTTACCAATTCAAGTGCACCGACGGTACCAAAACGACTGAAATATTCCAATAGAGCTTGTTCTGTTAGTGTGGTCGGTTTTGGTCCAACAAAGATTTTCTTCAGGGGAGTGCTGGCCATTAATGTTAGACAATACGCAATTTGAACGTCACGAAAACAGTATGTAGGCGCGTGTTGGTAAGCTTGTGTATAGAAAATGAATTGAATCAGATTTGTTATTCTTACGCAGGTAATGGAATATTTCTAAAACAAACAGAACGCACAAATTTTTTTCTCGGAAACGTGTTTAAACATCATACAACCAAACAACCTTGACAACCTTAAAAACAATAATCAATGTGAAAACCTCGGATTTAGATCCGAGTGTTATGTGTACTTCAAAAAGTAAATATAATTGACTAGAGATTAATTTGATAAAACTATTTAAAAAATTTCACTAGCGTATGAAGCCAGCAGCTACCGGGACTTATTTTTTCAGGATTTATTGGGATTTTTCAATAAGTCCGTAAGCACTTTGAGATAAATCCCATACAGTTCCTCACTACATACAGAATGTGAGTGTGGATGTGGAAGTGGGTGCGGAGTGTGGGTGTGGGTGCGGAGTGTAGGTGTAGGTGTGGATGTGGATGGGCGTCGTGTTAAAAGAAATGAAACGACAAGTGCAGCTGTTATTTTAAGTCATCCGTTGCATTTTCATTCTGAATCATGGCATCGCATATTTATTGAGTATTTGGAGTGTAAGAGTGGATAATTTTCTTTTCTACCTTGTAAAGAGCGTCGCCTTCATTTTCTGCTTCATTACATGAACATGTTTATTTGGTATAAAATATAACGAATCGCATCACACATTAATATTTCTTGCTGTTTTTTGTCCAAAATACTTGCTATCGAAACTTCAATCAGGTAAGACTGATTTAATATATTGCGCACAATACAAACCACGACGTATTTCAAATAAAATTGAAAGCATCTGTACGCTAGTGTTAAATTTCAGATTCTGCCAGGTCAGGTTGCCTTAGTGATATAGACTTGTGAGAAAACATTTTCTAATGTTTAAGTTTATTAATTCTATTTCTAGATTATCAGCAGACTTGCATTGAGATATCAAAACCTAGCACGAACTTATTTCATTGAGACTTTTTTTCTCAAGTTATGATCGTTCATGGGACATTTTTTCTCGAGTTTCTTTGAGCGACGATTTCAAAAGGCACAGAAAAAAGAATGTGAAGTATTGCTTTAAAAAATGCGCATAGAAAAATCATTTTCTTTTCTTTTCTGTTTTTTTCCACCTTTCTTTTATTTGTCTGCAGTGATTGATATAGTTTTATAATAAAGTAGAAGGAACATTAAATCAAAAATTCAACAAATTCGAACTCGTCGACTGATAATAAAAATCAGGTAAGATTTACTTTCATGAGATGTACTTTGCCGACGATATGTTGAAGATATTATTCCAAACATAATGGTTGATGCTGCATCTTCAAATACTAGTGAGTCATTCTAAATATATAACAAGGTACCAAATGTATTTTGTAGATTTGAATGATGGTCATCCTAATCGAGATCTATCGCGACTAGAAAGCAAAATGGGTGTAACTGAACAAGACAATATTAATTCGTCAATGTCTGCTGAAGGTACAGTTATAACTATTTATAACCCTATCTTCCATGATGATTATCATAATCATTTCATCTATGTAGATGCTGTTGTAACAGAAATGATTTTAGCAACTGAAAGGGTTCAGAAGGCACTAATGGCTAACAATGCATCAGATGGAGACGAATGCGACAAACAAAGAGCTGATAGTAATGAAAGCAGTGTTCCACAGCCAACAAGTAGAGTCAATAGTAGTCCAATTCAACTGTCTACTGAATCGCCGATAGGTACACAAGAGAAAAATTTATATCAGTTATCTAAATGACTAAAGTATCATTCTTATGTTGAAGATCAACAACAGAGTCAAGTGAGTCCTCCAACTACAGTTAATCATCAGCAACAACTTCGAGAAAAAAAACACATCATGATAAGCTATAATCGGACTACATGTAAATTAATTTGTGATAAAATTGAAAATGGCCTTCAGGTAGGGATAACTAATGTAGAAACATATGCATTCATCTTTCATTGAACAGGAAAAAGGATATACAGTGTGGCGAGACACAAGATGTTTGCATGGAAACATACTTCATGGGATGGCTAAGGCAATTGAAAATTCTTTTATTGTTCTTCTATGCATGAATACAAAATACCAAGAGAGTAAATATTGCATGGCAGGTAAACAAACTATTATTTCATTTTTATAATCGATCAAGCCAATGATTGAATGTATTTAGAGGCTGAATATACTTTTGAAAAAAATGTTCCTTATATTCCGTGTGTTATGGAAGAAGGCTTCAAACCGAGTGGTGGCTTAGCAATACTCAAACGTGCTAGAAACCGTATTTCATTTTTTCCACCTGAGGATTTTGATAGATCATTTGCTGAATTAGCGACGGAAATTGAATATATTGAAGCAGAGCTAAATGAAAAATGTCATGGTGAGTGAAGTTTTCACTGTTTATAGGTTTATTAATATTTGTTTTATTCTTTTCTAAATATAGAAAATTTGAGTGATCGTATTAATGCTATAATTTCGGATTATAAATCATCAATTAATAAGAGTCATCTTCAATTGCAACATCTTACAAAGAAAGAACTTTTTAAACTAATGGAACGCTTTTGTAAAGAAATTGCTCCTGAAACATTACAAATCTTTCAAAATGAGAACTCGTACAATAATGACGATAATAGTATACAAAACCAAGAGGAGTTTTATCACTGGATAATGAAATATCTTCTCAAACAAGATGAACGTTTAACAGCCGTTATTCGTACTCAACAAGAGCAAGATAAAAATTTTGCTGCTGTTACACAATGTCTTCTTCATCACAATGACGAAATGGTAAAGATGATGCAAACACAACTGGGGGAACACGTAATCTACTTTCATCAACTCTCAGATCAGATTGTAGAACAGCAGAAACAAATAACGCAAATTGTTGAAAGACAACAGCAACAAGAAGCTACTAATTGTTATTTACTACAAAGTCTGCAAACTCAATCAATCAAGGAACAATCGGCGAGTAGTATTGATCATGATCGAGTACGAAATGACAAACAGGACAGTCGAAAAGGACACATTCATACACTGATTAATTTAGCGAACACTACTATACTCCTATGCACCCTGGGAGCAATTTTAAGAAAATCTTAAATTTTCCATGTTCTCATTTGATTGTGTGCATCTTAGTCTTTTCGTTTTTTCATATACAATAAAGTTTTGAAGAAGAATTCATGATGCAACGATCTGCATAAATTCGAGTAGCATAAAGCTCTCGATTATTTGATTATATTCAAGCTATTTCAGCATCTTAAGGTTCACCTGTTGCTACTTGCTACTTACTTGACATGTTATAGAAATGAACTAATGCAGAAGTTAATAATAATCTAAATTAGAGAGCTATTTGGGATCTTAGATCTAGTTTATTTGTTGTTATGATTCGTTTAGTGTGGGAAGGGTGTGGCTGTAGCTGTGGGAGTGGGAGTGGGTATAGCATTTAGCCACATGCACACTCTCACCCACCACACCCACACCCTATCTCGGGAAGGAAGAGCCATGAGCACAAACGCTTCTATGGTTTCTTAGTCTCATTGAGGCCTACCGGTAGCCAAAAGGTGAAGCCGAAAGCTCAGGATCAGTTGGAGTAGTTCCCTTATTAGTCTCTTATGAATTTACTGATAAGCTGCACTTTAGTAAAGTTTCACTCGCATGTTTTGGTTAAAGCAGCTACATCACCGGACAAAACTCTTTCTCTTCTCTTTACTTCTATGCTATCATACATTGCATCGATTTTATTACCGAGTAGATATATAATATAACAGTTTTATTTCAGTATGATTTGTGCACCATATTGTAACAAACATCTCATGTCATATCTTTACTCGGTCATACATTTCATGCAAAGTATGGCAAAATAGAAAGAAAGAGAAGACGGACTTTTCTCCGAAAGTATAAATTCTATTATTCATAAAGACAGCAGAAATTTAGGCATAATGAATGATAAATAGTCTCTACAACCATTATTCGATCAAAATGTGAGCGGATATTAAAGAATGGAATGTTTTAAAGAAATGGGATGCACTATTTCCTCACAAACGTCAATCTAGTCTACATTCTAGCAAATATTTACGAATAATCATTCTTATTTACATAACCTTAATAATTTTCTCCCGGTGGGAGCTCAAATCCCTATCCAGCTATCTCTTGACTCCGCCACTAGTAGGCAGTGCTAAAAAGTCAATTGAAGCCAACTTTTCCATAAAACATTCAAACGAGCCAAAAGTTTGGATTTGGTGGTTTTAGATGAAGATCATTCGAATGTTCTTAAAAAAAGAATCAAATTTTGACGAATGCCTCTATTTTATCATTAGTGAATCTTTTTCAAACTTACAGATGTTTTCTATACGGCTGTAATTTTCAGTAATTTCTGTATCATCCGAATTAAAGACTGTCATATCATTGCAGTTACTCTTAATCCGTGACTTGTATTTTCAGAGCACTTTCATTTACATATTGAATCTGTTCTGTACTTATTAAGTTGCAAAAGTCTTGCCATTACTACTGTTATTAAAGTGTTTAGCTAAATTACTACAGTCAATCCCATTTGACACGATTCTATATGCTCAGAAAAGTGGATAAATATGCATTTGTCTTTTATTATGGAACTTTAAGCGACTTGGCAAGCGTTTAGACAAAAAAACACTATTAAATTGCTACTATCATGAATTATGACCATTGCTTCATCAGAAAACATCATCAATTTATCTTTCTCCATCACTTGATTAAATTACCATAGAAATCGATGTATTAAAATACTGTCAATTAAGCCTTCGAACGCACTATATCAAGATCTTTTAGCATTGGACAATTGCTATAGTTTCCAAAAATCATTAGGCAATAACTTTTCAATCATTAGGTAACTGCCCAATGGTTCAAGGCTGGCTACGCCACTGTTGACCCTAATGAGCGAGAAATCGTGGTGTTTCTTTGTCTACATTCATTTATTTCACTCAAAAAAATAAAAGTAACTTTAAAAATATAATTTTAATAATTGAGATATTTTAAAATAAAGAAAAACGATGCTTATCCAAATCTGAACAGATAGAAAAGCTTTTCTTTTAAAACTTCACATTGAAATTGTTATTGAAAATGCACTGTACTCAGTTGATAACTTCATTGAATGAGTATAATATTAACAGAAAAAAACCTATTCACTATCTTAATGTTATGTATATTCAACTTCAGATATTTGACGCAAAGTCTACAGAGTTTTTTGAAACAATTAATCTAAATTTGAATTCCATCATCTTTGTTTGCTTGGACTACTACTACATGCTATCTCAGTGAATTTTTCTGCTCCAATTCTCAGAATCATAGAAAACATTTTGGTCTTTTCTGAAACTTTTTATAAATAGAGTAACCCGATATTTTAACATCGATTAGTTCCAACTTATATGAATGAAACTCTCCGACACATTAGAAGATCCCCTATAATACAAGATCTCCATTCGATAAATGAAGCAAAGGACATATTAGAAGACCCTTCACAAAATCAATTTTTTAAAAATAATTTCTGGAACGTAGTGGTATTTTTTAGAATTTAACCCCATAATGATGTCTAAGTTCAGTATGAACAATATTTTATTTTCGTCGTGATAACGATCTGTCAGTTCCAAGTTAGAAAAATCTTGAGAAACAACTAATAGGAAATAACTGTTTATAAAGTAATATGTTTTTTTTTGAAAGCATATCGTGGAGTCATTTTAGTTCTTCTTTGCAGCTTACTCTAAAAAAATTCATTAATTTTCATCTGTGGAAAAACCTTTCTATGACCATACGATCTAAGGGGCCGAGTCCACATTCGTGGGTGTAGCACATGAAGGGATCTTTGTAAAATAGTAACATATTTTATAAAATTTCGTTTTATATTAATTAGAAAGCTTGTTCGTCTATAAATTTCTTCTAGAAGTTCAGAAACGTCTTTATTTCAAAACAGATTTTTATAGTTGAAGAAAGCCTAACTTCACGTATACACTTTGAAGTTTGTTCGGTGAGTACTTATGAGTCTGAGAACGAATTTCTTTTCTCAATACAACCCACAGGCATTTTTCGAAACAGCCAAAAGAAAATACAAAATGTGTATTCAACTGCTGTTTTTCTACAAACTGTTTCTTCAGAAGACAATCATATTCACCGAAGTTAACTTGTGACCAATAATTATGTTAGTGGTAGATTTCGCCGGTACTAATCAAACCTCAACATTAACAGTTGCCTTAAGTAAATTTGACAAAAAGAAGATCATTTTCTTTTTTCAGTTATATAGTTATTTAGAAGGTAAAATGTTGCCACCCAGTGAAAAATATTCCATAAAAAAAACGGTTGAGAATGCGTTCCAAAAAAATGAAAGCCCTTTTTTTAAGAAAAGAAAACGTTACGAAACAAATGGAAAGCATTCCAAAATGGAACGGTCTAGAACGTCTTCTATCACTTTTGGAACGTGTTCTTAGCAGTTCCGAAATGGAACGATCAAAAAAGCATTCCATCACTTTTGGAACCCTTTCCACCATTTTTGGAATGTTTTCTCTTCTTGAAAGCAGTTAACTTTCTCGATCATACGGCTGATTATTAATGGGTGAATCTGTAATTCGTCAAAAGACCATTTCCGTGGTAACTCGACAAGCTCTATCGAATGCCGTGCTCCAATTCATTCTAACTCAAACCGTTATTAAAATCATATTTTTTCTAAATCAGACCTAGCATTCCCAGAGAACAACTAACCAAAGGTTCCACCATTTCTCACATCAATTTCAACCTGCTTTGCTTTAGATCTTTGATTTTTGAATCAAAATGTGGTTCAATTCCAAAAGAAAGTATTCATCACTAAGAAGAATTCATTCTTTTAATACCTCTCTAGAGAACATAAAAGAAAACGATCTTATTTCGATCGAATGCTATCTGTACCGTTTCGAAAGAGAATGAACTAGAATGGGTTCTATTGGTTTAAGAATGGTTCTGAATGCCTTCCCTTCAAATAGAGAACAATTTCTCAATAGAAAAGAAAGTATCCAGCATTATTGTGGAACAGCAAAGAACGAGTTCCTTCAGACTGAGAACGTTTCTTCTTGAACATGAACACATTCTTTACGTAGGAAAAATGTTTCCATATTTTCATGAGACCATTCTGTTCCGTTTTTTTTCGAAATATTTTTCACTGGGCAGTGACAATAGAATTCTTTAGAAAAAAAAATTCTATTGGACATTGTACCAAGATGTTAGGGAGTATTGCCTGTACTGTTCTTAGAACACTTCTTACTAACAATGACCTTCTTCCTTATCACAGGGTAATATATGATTCTTTCTCATTCTACGCACAACGAATAAATAAAATAAACTCGTTTACTAATGGTGTATTGAACAAAAATTGACTAGAAGCAAAATTTGTTGGCGATACTATCAAAAACTAGCTTTTTTTAAGGGACATATTAGAAGACCCCCTTGTAACTTATGAATGATAAGACAAAATAGAAGACCCCGAGTCTTCTAATATGTCGGAGATTTTAGTGCATCTGTTTGATTTGTGTTATTTTATCGAGACAAAGTTACTGTTTTCTTCGTTTTTAAAGAACTTGATAAAGTTTTGACAGAATTGCTTCTTCTTAAATTTGATTTTGAACGATCATGAAAATGATGATGATTATTAATTTTTCGAATAGGATTTTAAGTTTGAAATGAAATAGTTGATGATATTTTGGATTTAAAATCATGTTCTGGAATGATGCAAGCAAAATTGTATAAGAAAATATTATTTCGATAAAGTTCAACGTGTAAAAAGAAAAATGAAATGTCAGATGAAAACAGCTCAACGGTTTCTTCATGCTCTTCTTCCTTGAATGATAGACAGACAACTATATAAGGAAGAGACAATAATAAAAACATGTATGTGCGTTACAGGCGAGATTTGTTCGTTTTTCACGATAACTTTCAGCGGTTTGCAGTCCAAAACTGTTTGTTTAATTTTTATACATTCATTTAGATTTTTTAAAAAAGAAACTTTCGTGTTTGAATATACAAAGACTGCTACGATTAAAAGTTAAATGAGATAGAAGATTTTTTATGAATATCACAACAACAAAAGTAAGACGTCATTATATAATCGAAGCTTTTTCACCAAATATAAAAGACTTTAAAGATAGAAAAAAGACATCATACTGCTCCTTCTCTCTGTACAATATCCAGGCCATAGATAGAGTCCATGATTCAATCAGAAAATTATGTGACAGCAACTCTATGTGAAATCGATAGTAAATAAGAACTAAGAGTTTTGAAAAGAGGACCGTTAAAAAAAAAATTATATTATTTTTTTCAAGAAGCTCATATTAACCTAGCGTAATAATTTAGTGTATTTACTAAAACATAAAACCTTCTAGACTGTTTTTTTTTACTCTTTTGGCTGCAAAAAAAATCAGTTTAAAATAAAACAAGAGTATAAGTATGAATAAAAGAAAAGTAACACGAAAGGTAATAACATTTGATGTCTTGTACGAAATAATTTGAGAACAGGATATCAACTCAAGAGAACGATATCAATACTTGTATTCTAGCTGATTTCGAATCAAAACGTTATTAAATAATTTCATAATTTTCTACTTTATTATTTATCTTGTAATAAAGCTGTATCTATTTAAATTTGCTTGTACTTTATAAAAGCAAAGTAAGATAAAGACAAAAGTGTCATCCTTATGCATGTATGAATAATTTTGTTATTCACTTGTCACAATTATACATTTTTATATTTGACTCATATTGTTAGTACGAAAATGTCAATGCACTGTGGCTATTATTCATGAAAATAACAATGAAAATGAATACATGCATCAAAACATAAAAACCTATCTGAATCATAAAGATAACGTTGTGTAGTTTGACGAATATATTTTTTATTGTTTTATTCTATTATGGAATCTTTCTTCATCTGAATAGAAAACTTTCTGAACTGTTTCATTAAATATTCTAATCGTTCTTTCTTTCGTTCTTATTTGAAATGATTAAAATGAGATTATTTTCTTTGATATTTTTCAGAATAATCCGTGAGAATGAATTCTTTGAATTGATGAGTGTGTTCCAAATAGCATAATCTTATAATTTAGCATCTAAAAATCCATTGTCGACATTGAAATTAGGAAAATCAGATTCAAATCAATAATTATAATACTTCTGTCGAAAAAATTTTGCAATAATTATATGTTACTGCTAGTTTATTATTCATATTATAAATGAATCATTATTAGAAAAAAAAAAGAAATATATAGTTTGTTTTGACATCATTGATTTATTTCGTTGATGAATATTTACCATCAACCTTGTTAATGATGATGATGATGTTGTTCACCACCATATTGACCACCATATTGACCACCATATTGACCACCATATTGACCGCCAACTCCAGGAGCACCTCCGTGAATTTGACCATACGTTGGATTGGGATTGCCACCCATCATGTTATCCAATTGCTCACCCAATGCACCTAAAAATAAGTAACAAGCAGTTATCTTTAACATTCTTCAATCGATATGAAGTCGAATTCATTAGAAAAAACATTGATTTAATAAAAATGCCTTACTGTTTAGTCCTCCAGGAACAGTATTTTGAATTATATTATCAGTCATACGTTCTCCCGTATTACCACCATAATTATTTGGATTATTTCCCCACATAGTCGCTGTATAGTAAAAAGTAGATAAATGCAATAAATAAATGATTCTGATCAATCTTTTTATATAACATTTTTTTTACGTTTTTGTTCTTCAAAAAAATGAATCAGAATGAAAAGTAATGATGCATGACTCTATTGAGTATCATAACACATATACGCAGCAATAATCTATTTCTGGAAATTTTGTATCCGTTGACTTCCCTAAAATGCACTCATAAACGTCCATAACGATATTGCTGAAGAGGATCCATTATTCGACCTTGGAATATTTGCTGAGCGAATAGATTTAATTAATGTGCTTGTTTTTTTTCTAAATCTTTTAATTGTGGTAATAGATCAATTATAGAATATTTAAACCTTGAATAAAAATTGTTTCCGATCAACAATTGTTTTCTTTTCAATTCTTCAATTAATTGATGTTCAATAATCTTTTTCAGATTTTGTAATTTCGATTGTTAGAACTTTTGTAATGAAATGTTTTTCTAATATTTCACTTAATAATTAATTGAAATTGACAAGTTATAGTTTTCTCTCTATTCCTGCCAGTATATTCTTTTTTTATGATACAAATTGATTGTTGTTATATGAATCGTTATTATTGACTGTCGATCATTGTTCACAATAGTAGAACAAAGTAATCATACCCTACTTATTGAATAGGAGAAGAGGAAAGATGAGATGTTGTATTGTACTATGTAAGTAGAAATCTCATATTTACATGTTTCGAATAATTCTTAAATAGTGATGATTAATCACTTATGATTTCTAACCAACCTAACTCTTTTCTTTTAGTTTGGTAAAGTAAAATTAACAATCTTACACTCAAATCATATACTCTATTTGATTGGTTTTTACTTAGATCGTTCCAAAAGTAGTGGCACTGACACTTTATTAGCATATAGTAAGCTGAAGGGAATTTTCTTTTTTTTATATAGTAATACTAAAAATAATGCTCAATCTTTCTAAGATATTGATTCACTCTTAAACTGATGTTATGACAGGAAAATTTCGATAAAAAGTATTTGTTATGATATGTGATGATAACATAATTATTATGTTTCTTTTTGATGCATATTCACTTGTTGACATGTTCTTTCTTTTTTTCTTGTCATCTTTGATACCTAATCGTCTATTTATATTAGAGTAAGTGATATTAATCGCTTCGAAACAAAAAAGAAATACTAAAACAATTTTTTATTTCATCAAATATTCGAAATAATCGCCTTCGTTATCTACACACAATTGCATTCGTTGAATCCACTTATCGAAGGTCTTCTTACATTCTTCTGTATTCAAAGAATTCATGAACTACTGGATCTTCGGTTCTTGATTTCATTAATAACATAGTATAAACAATTATTGATATAATACTCGTGATTGATAGTTTGCCCTTTTGTTCAACATTATGTATCAAAAGCAGACCAGTTAAATTAAAGAAAATGCATACCAATATTCTTGGAGTGAAATGACTACATCGAACTGTCGTCGATAGAGGGTCTTCTCTTTTTCACGCAAGCAGCATTCAATGATTTTCTGCCAGTTTGTTTATGATAAACCTACGATTCATTGCCTGTCACCATATCACATAATTTCAATGTTTCTCGTTCAAATTTTGTTAAATTTTCTTTACATATTTCGAACTCATTCAGCTCGTTGAAAAACCGGTCAAATGTTTAGATACATAACGAGCAGTAATCTTTTTTAGCTTCAAATGATCGGATACTATTCGATATACGGTGCCATGTCCTAGACTAGTTTGCTCTTGCAGTTCATCGGTAATGCTTTGAACGTGTTCAATATTTCCAGAATTTGTCTCGATCACAGATCTATCAGATCGATCTCCACAAAATCAATGAGACCATCTAGCAACTGTTCTATAAGAAGGAGCTTCGTCACCAAAAACAGTGTAAAATTTATCATGAATAGTTCTTACTTGAATAACCAAGTGCAGTATGCACTTTAATGTAGAAACGGAAATTCTCCTTATTCGTGTAAATAGGCATGAATGATGCGAGATTTAATCTAGCTTTAGCTCTTTTACTTAAAAACTTTAACAGACTGCACATACATACTAAACAAACAAGACACGTGTCTCTCTATATGTGTATGAGTAGACGATTAGTTATCAAAGACGACGAGAAAAAAAGAGGAGCAGAGAATAGAAAGAACGTCAACAAGTAAATATACATCAAAAAGAAATATGATATTATATTATCGTCACATATCATAACAAATATTTTTTATCGAAGTTTTCCTATCATGAGATCAATTTAAGAGTGAATCAATATCACAAAAAGATTGAGCATTATTTTTAGTATCACTATATAAAAAAAAGAAAATTCCCTTCAGCTTACAATATGCTAATAAAGTGTCAGTGTCACTACTTTTGGAATGACCTAAGTATTTGCTATGTCTTGAAAAAGATCTAATACTTGAAAAGTCTAAAAGTGACTAAATTGTGCAATTGAGTACTGTACATAAAGTTTCCCAAATATTAAAGATAATAGCAACCAACGAAAACACCACGGATATAATATCAAGTTTTTATTATAATCTATGTATGATAATTGGGCAAAATGTCAAAAAACAATAAAAAAAGATTCTGTTTAAATCGAAAGAGATTATCAATAAATTTAACTGTGTCAGATTTTATTAAATCTATTGAATTCATCATCATCAAAAGTCTTCAATCAAAATAGAAAATTCATCATGAATCATAACATCCTAGGCAATCTCAACGAAATTTGAACGGGATTCTAAAGATCTTGAACTAAGTTTCATAGAAGAACTAATTAACTTAGTATACAATAACCAAGGAGAAATAACGAAAACAAACAGAAATGTATACTACAAAAATCTAGTCGCAATCAACGAATCCTTTTGAAAGTTACACTAATGCAAAAAGAAAGAAGAAAAACATTTTTTTGATTATAAATACCATTCCTTATGTTATCTGTATTTTCTGAATTGTGAATACTCATATGGATGCAAAGATAACGAAATAAATATCTTGAATGTTGACGTATTTCTCTCATAAAAATGTGCACTTTTAATATTGTTTTTTCTTATTTCTCTGCTCCACTATAAGTAAGGCTTAATATACATCTCTCTCTAATTTAGTGTCATATGTTCCTCAGAAATGTTTTTTTTACAGAGCTTTTAGAAATCGATTATTTCCAATAGAATAGAAAGAATATTACCAAACTCATAGAGATAGATAGGGAGAGTGACTTGTTCATCTGTAAAATTACTCTTTATACATCTTTTTTCTTTCTTTTTTGTTTATTTTAAATGAATATTCATAGGGATTCTGCCATAGAATAGAAGTATACAGTCGCTTTTTATCAGTGTCTTTCGTTGTTAATATCATTTTTTTTAAATGAAGTTAATATATTGATATGATATCAAGTATTGTATGCTAAATATAATGTATTAAAGACTAGATAAAAAGATAGTTAAATTTAACTTTTATTAAAAACATGTCGTAGAAATACATTGTTGATAAACAAATACTTGTCGAACAATAAATAATTATGTTCATTCTGATATTCATCGACAATAATGTTCAGGACTTCTAATTACTATTAACAAGAAATTATATTAATATTACAAAAAAATGTACTTAATCAACTTTTTTTCTGATGAAAAAGAAAATCTTTATTTTAGTCGTATATGCTCTTAAAAGTATTGTTTTTATTTGTACAAAATATTTCTCTTGCTTTTGCCTACAACCAAAATAAAAACATATTATCAATAATTTTCGTGTCACATTACACTACAATCCACATATAAACACTAAATACAAAATAGATGAATTCAAACATGGTTTTGTAATAAACTACATGTAGAAGTTGTTCAAAAGGTCATTTATTGAAATCTTACATAAAATCATTTGCTATATTAAGACCACTACATTCCAAAAAAAAATCGTTTAATATTAATTATGACTCATAGACAATAAACAAGTTTAACATATAATTTAAAACTACGAAATTTATTAAAAAAGACAAAATAAAAAGTTACATGAAGTATTAAATATTTTACGTCGATAGAATTAACTGTTTGTACACTAAAATAAATTCAAATATATTTTGGTTTGGAATAAGAAAACATATTGAGCTAGAACAAGTTTGTAGTGTAATATGCACGACTTTGGATCGCTGATTCACTTGTTAAAGTTTGACTATCATCACTTGAAGTAATTTTTCAATGCATTTATCAGAATAGACTGGAATCATCGTAACATGATATCGATGACAGCTTATTTCGAATCTCAGATAAATCGAAATTTACTTTTTAAATTTCATTTGGAATGTATTCAAATGCATTTTGACTACAAAAGTATTTATATGAAAATGAGTTTAATCTCTTGTATAGAAATTTTAAAAAATTTTCTTCTTATGACTTATTTAGTTTTAATTGATTAATTACAAGAATAATCTTCAGCATAAACTGATGATTTCACAAAATATTACAATGAAAAATATATTGAATTATGTCGTTGAGAGATATCTGATTGTAGATTTTCATGTCATGATTTAAGTAGTTTACGTCGTTATGAAAAATTTAATGACTTTTTATATATATTGCAAGAATAATCTTTGAAACAATGTATTCATATTGAAAATCTATTTTAATGATCGAAATGTTATTCTTTCAAATCATAAGTCTTATTTGAACAAAAGTTGATTTCGATGAAGAGTACGTTTATTATGATTACAAAAAAAAATCAATCTTTAATTGCTAGATTAATGTATTCTATATTAAGAAAAAAAAAATAGTTCGAATTTCTGCAGTGCTATTACCATCCGTATGAATAACCATATCCACCACCATAACCACCAACACCAGGATAACCTCCATATACTTGACCCCATGTTGGATTTGGATTTCCACCCATTCTATTATCAAGATATTCACCCATGGGACCTACATGAAAAGAAATAATTAAGGAATATCTGTTTTTTTTTTGATCGATATTATTCATTCGAATAAAAAAATAAATTACTATTGAAATTTGTGATAAAAATTCAATGTTTATTACAGAAAATGACACAATCTTTATCAAGAGAATACTTTGAAAATTATAAACGAACTAATCATAAGTATTTATTATATATGCAATAGCTATCAAAATTATTCAACAAGGTTTATTTTGAATTTTTTTCGCTGTCTGTAGCGCAAAAAAAATGAATACAAATATTGATTCAAATAGAAAAAAGCATACCCTCTAAGAATATAAGAAAAAAAAAGGATTACTAGATTCTGAAAATTAGAGTTCGTAGAAAATCGAACGACCACTTTTCAGTACTTAGAAGAGACAAGTTTTTTTCATAGAAATTAATAGATAAATACCTTTATAGACTTTTGTAAGAGTGCTAGATTTCAGCAAAAAAGAGGTGACAGAAAACTCGAAGATGTCTCATTATTTTTAAAAAATTCTTTGCTTTACCATTTCGTGAAATCTATACATAATTATTTTTGTGCAATCTAGGTTCTGAAAACTGATGATTTGAATTTCTGGGATTCCTGTCTTTTGAGATTTGGTAATCAGACTATTTTCGTATATTCTTGTTGTGTATATTTTTCTCTATTCGAATCACTATTCAAATTGTTTTTTATGATTACAACAACAGAAATAAATTGAAAATAAGCTTTGTTGAATAGTTTTGTTAGTCATCATTCATATATATGTACATAATAAAAATAAATTCTTATTCTCATAATATTAACGATAACAATTTATGATTCTTACTGTTTAATCCACCGGGAATATGGCCTTGAATCCATCTATCAGATTGCATTTCTGAACTTCCATAAGGATTGAAACCACCACCCCACATGTTTGATGTATTATTAAATGCGTAGAGTACTAAATAATATTTCTCTGTTTCGATGAATAAATAAAAACTGATTTTATTGCATCTATTTATATTCGATCTTTTTGCGTTTTTTTTGACGATAAATATAAAAGAAAAAAAGAAAAATTTCTCAACCGTAACCAAAAATCAGATATTAAACCGACAAAGATGCAAAAATAGAAAATATATGTCGAAGGTTATTTTTCCCTGATTTATTTTGACTTGATATGTATCTTTACATACCTACGTGCAACGATTTTATTTTGAGTGTATATTTAGGGTTTTTGCCCTTTGTTTTTATGAGATTTTCTTCTAAAATAACATTCAACTGGGTTTTTTTTCTTAACTTTATTGAATAAACATATTTTTCATGTATAGAATATACGAATAATCATGACGTGTAATAATTAATTTTTTATCTTGTCAAGTAAGCAATCTGTCATCTGCTTCTTAGTCATATTTAACAAAATAGTATATTTTCATTAATTTATCGAATAAAGTAAAAGCAAATATTGTAAAAAGATAATCATAAATTAAACGACTATTTAAAAACAAAAATATTTGGTGAATATTATTTATTCTATATGATGATTTAAAATAGAAAAATAAAAATAAATTCCAATAAATCAAATATGAATTTTAAAAGTATAGACAGAGAAAAACAAATAATGATCTCATGGTAATAAGGAAAGAACATTTCACATGATAATGAGAATATACCAAATTGTGATCATGTTAATGGAAATATTCTTTTCAATATTAAAAATATCTAAACTACATAATTAATCACATGAAAAAACTGTTTTGGATTTTGAAAGTCTAATATTAAATTAATCATAAATCATTTTCGAAATCTATAAAATAAATCTAAATAAAGTCGTGTTTTTTTCCCTTGAGATGAAGAAAAACGATGAAAAATATTAATTAATTGATAAGAAAAAATGACTCATTGTGTTTCTTTAAATTACTCTAATAATAATAATAAATAATTTTCGAACATATATCATAAGAAATTTCGAGTATTTATCATCATTTTACTTAGACATTGATTATAACAATGTGCTATTTAAATTTTCAAAATTATCTTAACAATTCTAATAAAAAAAAAATGATTAGCACAATTCTTATAAGATTAAAATATGAAAAAAATATTATAGAAATGTTATTGATATCAACTAGATCAACGAGACATTTGAATATTTATTTTCATATAACATATGGTAAGAGATGATTTGATGTATGCAAAGAAAGAAACTTGACGAAATATATCAATCATAAAATTGTCTTTATTTTTCTTTGTTATGAACGACTTTGACTTATACATTGAGGTCAGATTTGAACTACAACTCCTATAGTGTAGGTCAATCACATATCCTCTTCTATCTTTGAAAAGATTATTCTATTTCATTTGTAATTCTTCCAAAAATCAGAGAAATAATGGTGCCAAATAAAATAAAAAAATATGATTGACCTACATGATAGGATATATATGAATTCTAGGTCGAGTCCAACAGCAACTCATACACTTCTTTCTTCATAAAGTACAGCAACGTAACAAAAAAAAAATCTAGTAGTGGTTAATTATATCTAAATGCGATTATAATTAGAAAGATTCATATTTGCATATTTTTACGGGACATACAAACATTTAAAGATGAGATTGACACTTATTTCTGTTTATGCCATTAATCGATCAGTTCGATTGGTATGTTTTCCTTAGTTTTTCTTTTGGAATATGCTCTAATCAAATATTATAA